AAGAAAGAAAGAAAGAAAGAAAGAAAGAAAGAAAGAAAGAAAGAAAGAAAGAGAGAGAGAAAGAAAAGAAACTTTACCAAAACTACTAGAAATAAAGCAGTGAAGTGTCTTTGCAAATTCTCAAGGGATAGGAGTCTTGCCCTCTTGGCTCTAAGTCCTTTACTCTCTCTGATTACCCGCTTCCTAGTGCTGACTTACTCTTCAAGGTCCAGCACCTCTTCAATCCCCCCACCTTGACAGTACAGCCATAGCTTGGAATATACTTTGCATGAAGCCTCCCTCTGGGGAAGGTGACCCCAAGCATGAATCAGGATTTGGGTCCTGAGCCCCTCTAAGAGACTAGCACCCGGACCAGCTCTGCTATGAAGAGTGGCATGCGTCCCACAGTCCCCTGAGCTCAGGCTGACGTGGCTGGAAGAGGTCCCTTTCCCAGTGGGTTAGTCATCTGGGGTATCACTGTCTTTAGTGTGGAATATACAGTGGCGTGTACTCTATTTCCTAATCATTCTGATCTGGAAGAATTACCAACAATGCTGGAAAACATTTACGGACTTTGAATAGGCAAGTTTCAATTGATAACCCATTGGCCATGTGTTTAAATCACTAGAAGGTACTCTGTCTAAAATGCTTCTCCCTGGGACCAGCAGTTGGCGTAATGGCTGTGTCACTGGACTCTCATGTAGTTGACCATGGTTCGAGTCCCAGATCTGGTGGCTTAAACTCACGCCAGGCACGTGTGCTTGCGTGCCCAGTATCCTGAGAGGAGAATGGAGGAGAAGGGATTGCAGCATGGCCATCCCTCTTGGTGGGTGATTCTTGAGGGGTGACTTCTTGCTTTCTGTCTCTCTGTCTCTCTCTCTGTCTTTCTGGTGAGCGCACGCACCCTATAGCAAAAACGTCTCAAAATAAAAATGGTTCTCCCATCATGATTGAAAAAGTATATTACTGAGGTTAACAGGATAAACTTTGGAGCCAACCCAATACCCCTGAGCAGCTTCCCAACCTTGGTGCAGGTCAACTAACCTCTCTGAACAAGGGTCCTTCTCTGGAAAATACAAGAAGTTGCAATAAAATGCTAAGAATATATTTACTGTTGTCATCAATTGACTCTCGGCATGGCACCTCGCACGTAACAGATGCTCAGCAAACGTAGAGCTTGCAGAAGTGGTTATTGTGGTATTCGAGTGAAAGCCAGCATGATGAAGACACGTCTCATGGATCTAATGATGTGCGTTCTTTTATCCCATAGTGCGGGATTTGTAAAGGACAGCTTGGAGATGCAGTGAGTGGGACGGACGTTCGGATTCGAAACGGTCTTCTAAACTGTAACGATTGCTACCTGCGGTCCCGGAGTAAGTACTGGGACACCCAAAGCAGTGAGTGTGGCCCTCAGCCTTCCATGGGACTCGATTTAGGAATCAATGTTTTCCCCCATCAGTTGACACTCAGGGTTTCTTGGCATCCAGATGAAAGAAAGGACAATGAAATGACCCCCTTATCACCAACTTCTAACTGGAGGTTAGTTTTGCAGGGTGGACCTTTCCTTTCATCTAGGAGTAAATAGACCCAGGGGGGTAGACCATGGGCCTCATTTGAGACCTTACCTGAACTCAGCACAGAAACTCTCACGAGACAGAGGAAGTGATTTGCTCTGTGACGTGCTGTGCGTGTGATCAAGCGTCCCTTTGGGAGACTAGCACCACTTTGGGATGGGGTTAGATGTGACAAGTGGCTCGGCCAGCCAGCAGTTCGAGACCAACTTCCCCAGGGTCCGCACGTTCTATGTTCAGAAACTGCATTACATAATATGGTGGTGTTCTCAACTCAATGGAAAGGTCCTGGAGAGAGAAAGCGATGGATTCTTCTCTGAGAATCCTCCCACCGCCCACCCCACAGTATCGTAGCAGGGAGTAAGACCTGGCCTGGTGTCTGCTGCCTGGAGCTCCTGTTGGCCACCTTCCGTTGGCTTGGCTACGGAAGAAGATGCATGTTAGTTTGGGGGCACCAGGGGGCGCTCTTGCCCAGCTGCTGTTCAGAAAATAGGAACCTTGCCATGGCTGGCCCTAGTCCTTCCTCAGTCCCCATCGTAAGTCCAGTCCTTCTGGTGAACAGCCTGGACAGCAGGGACCTTTTCATGCAATGCATCAGTTGGGAATTCCTCTCTCTCTCTTTTTTTTAATTGGAATAAGTTATGGAGTTTGGGATTCCAAAGTGTTTTATTTCTCAAAACAAGTGGAGTAACATGTTTACAACTTTCACATGGGTCTCAGGGAGCTCCAAGGCAGCAAAGACTTTAAGAATAACAATTGAGAGGCCGGCGGGTGGTGTGCTAGTTAAGGTACTGGACTCCCACATGGCCGAAAGTGGTTCGAGTCCCGGACCTGGTGGCCTGCTTTCTCACTTTCCCTCTCTCTCTCTTTTTCTGTCTCTTTCTGGTCAAAATTAAAAAGAAAGAAAGAAAGAAAATTAAATAAAGAAATTCTTTTAAAAAATAAAAACAAGAATAGCAGTTGAAGGTAGGTTGTTTTATAACTGTAGATTGAGTAAATTCAGAGAAATATATTTCTATTAGTAAGATGATGAGAAATCAAATTAAAACAAACTCAGGTGATTTTGATGTATAATAAACATTTGAGCAGAAGTCAAAACAATTCCAACTCGGGAACCAGCAGTTAGCGTAATGGCTATGTCGCTGGACTCCCATGTAGTCGACTGCAGTT